GGAACCTTGGTGAAGTACTGGTAAGGCGTGAGGAGGGAAACCATATAATACTATTATGTTAAGTCTCAGTTATGTAGTGCTTCTGTATCACTGGTCTATGACTTTTACAAATGTCTTCTAGCATGGCCCCCTGCTCCCCCACCCCAACCCCATCCACTCCTCGGCCCTCTTCAAGTGAGACAAGAAGATTAGAGTGGGCTTGAGTTAGGCTATTGGCCTTTAAATCAGTCTCGGATAAGATTTTGATCAAGTCTTTTCTCCTGGAGAGTAAGGTTCTATGATGGAGAAAGCTCTGGATGGACTTCCTAGAAGCTAGACTTCAGTGAGAGTTTTGAGGTGTTTCTCCTGGTGGCGCAGTGGGTACGCATGCGACTGCTAAATGAAGTTGGAAAGGTGAGTCATCCTGTGGCTAGATTTACAGCCTTGGGATCCCTGGGCCGTCTTCCTCCGGGACACTGCACTGTAGGGTCACTGTCAATCAGAATGGACTTAAGCACAGTGGGCTTTGTCATTTGGGTTGTTATGTTTCCCCTTCCTTGGTCTGAGAGATGAGGGATTTTTCCTTAGTTTTTTATCATGAGATTCTGGTGGGTTTCCTGGAAGTTAAACCCATAAAAACAAGAGTTCAGTTCCCATGAACTTTCTCATTCCATTGTTACTCTACATTCAGTCTCCAGAGATTCATCAAAATGACTATTAAAAGTTCTTACCAATTTATGGCCCTAGTAGCTTCTGCTCCAGATAAGTGGACCTCGGTTTTGCCTTTCTCTGGGTTTGTCCCAGAGCTTCCCTGGATCCAATCTCTGATTCATCTTGGTGTTGGTGTCTGTTAATTTCTTTTCTCATTCAAGTTGTGAAATTCCTGGTTCTGGATATGATGAGTAATTTTCTATTGCTCTGGCCATTTTGATTATTATATGATGAGACTCTGAATCCTAATTTTTTTAAGCAGGTATTTCAAAAGCTAGGTGGGAGTGCTTAAATCAGCTCCTAAGCCCACGAACACAGTCCCAGCCAAAATGGGTCACAGACTCACACTGTGCCATTGGGGTGTCAGTGGGGCTCAACTCCCCACTAATGGGCAGTGATGGGCAGAAGAGGGAGTGGAGTACCAGCTAGCTCTTCTGTGCACAGCTTTCTTCAATTCCCTTGATGCCAGATGTAGGTCTTCCCACCGTGCCCCGATGACAAGGGAGGGGTGAAGACCTAGAGTCCTTGTTCTGCTGGGCCACACCTCACGCACCCCAGTTGCCAGGAGGGACTAGAAGTTCAGCTCCCTGCTGAGCACATACTGATCCTACCCTGGCAAGGCAATTTGAGTGTACGTTCCCTGCTCAGTTTCATGGACCCCATTGGGCTCTGTCACAACAGGGCAGAGGGCTAGCTCCCAGCGCTGCCCTGTAGCAGCAACACGAGGCAGAGAGACCTAACAGTATAGCCAGATTGCTTCTGAGACCTAGGAGATGAGCTCCCTGTGATGAGAGGGAGTGGGTTTTTCCCATTCACGTTTGGAGTAAGGAGGAAAGTGTCCACAGTTGTGAGACCACACTTTTCATGCTCTTCTAGGGGAAGGTGGCTTTCTGGGGAGCCTTTCTTTTCTGTGCCTGTTGGTGATCTGGGCGGGAGGTTTCTTGGAGTGTCCTGCTGAGCACAAATGAAAGACAATAAGGAAACCCAGGGAACTCATCACCTTGAAGTGATTGCTTCTGCTTTTTGTTATTTTTGTCCAGTTTTTTAATAGTCACAGAAAAGACCTGGGAGGAACTATATTAAAAGTAAAACCAGAAATCTCTCCTACCTGTTGACTCTGAGCAACATTTTATAACCCATTTTTATGCCTACTGGGAAGTAGGGAAGGCGATTTCCAATTGACCATATGCTTTTCCTTAAAACTCATCTTTTCTTCACTTAGCAATTACAACTGTAGATTACGTATTTCTTTCTATGTTTGGTCACATCTCCGAGTCTCTGTTTCCTAAATGCTTCTGTTTCTCAAGACGGTCTTCTCAACCTGTTCACCTCATCCTCTCTTTCCCTCCTTCCACAACCTCGCCAGCAGCTAACTGCTAAAACCTCACAGACCACTGGTCTGCAAAAAGGACAAATCTCTCGTGGAATTTCGGCTAGCGTGCTCCTTAGAAGCAAGGATGACAAGACACCATCGTATGTGCTTTGGACATCTTACCAGGAGAGAACAATCCCTGGAGAAGGCCATCCTGCTTGGGAAGGTGGAGGGGGCGTGAAAAAGAGGAAGCCCCCAACAAGATGGATGGACACCGCGGCTGTAACAGTGCGCTCCAGCACAGGAATCATGGTGAGGACGGCGCAGGGCCGTGCGGTGTTTCCTTCTGTTGTACACGGGGTCGAGATGAGTCCTAATCACCCAGATGGCACCGAATGACAGCAACCTTGTCTTCAGTCCCCAATCTCAGTCCAGTTCTTCATTAGAAATTGCTACCTGCCTGTGCTAGTAAAGATTTTGTCCAAAATGTAAACTTATTGTCCACATGTACACACACAAATAAATGTTCCCTGAATTGCCTCTTCTTTCTGCATTTCTGAACTTGGTGAATGGCCCACAAGCCATCCGTCAATCCCACGGAGTAACCTGGCAAAAACGAAATTTACTGTCATTGAGTGGATTCTGACTCAGAAAGACCTTGTAAGACAAAGTAGACCTGCCCCCAGTGGGTTTCAGAGACTATAAATCTTTATGGAAGTAGAAAGTCTAATCTTTCTCCTGATGTGCAGCTGATGGGTTCAAACTGCTGCCCTTGAGGTTAGCAGCAGGTTAGTAGCCCAACACAACACCCCAGGGAGGTCACCTTTTTCCCCTCTCCAACCCCATAGATCACTGAACTCTTGCCATTCTCGTCACTAAAATGGCTCTCAGAGCCAACCTTTCTCTCCATTCCCTTAGGCAAAATCCTCGAGCGCTTACTCAAAACCTCAATCCTGGTTTTATTTATTTATTCATACATCTATCATTTTTTACAGCTGTCTAGTTTGTCTACCTACCTCTCTTTAGTTACCATAGAATAATCTTTAGTAAACTGCAAATATGATCAAGTTTGCTCAAAGCCTTTAGCAATGTCCTACTATATCTAAAAGACGACCTATAATCGATCACTTTTCAGGTTTGTCTTCCATCATTTGCTCTGTTAATTTCTGGGAATACACTATGATCAGACCACACACTTTGCCCATGATTTTGTTAACACCATCTTTCTCTCCTTCCCTCACCCAAATCTGCCCCAACCCAACCATCTCCTAGCCCCCTGCCCAAACTCAGGACTATTGAGTTGATTGTGGTTCACAGTGATCCCTTAGGACTCATCTACTGTGCTATTTGGGTTTCTTAAACCAACTCCTACTAGATCTGAAAGATCCCAAGAAGCTTCTCTGACTGCCCATGCAACATGCTTTTCTTCCCTATTTCTAAAACCTTCTGTATATTATGGTGCATTTATGGCTTTCAGCCCCAACCTGAGTTTGAGGGAGGGTCTGTGGGAGCCTCCCTTTTCCTCTTTTTTTAATATAGAGGACAGAAAGTCCAATGATTTGCCTTTGAATGACTGTCTCAGCGAGGCCGTCTGCCGGAGTGGTAAAAATCGAAAGACTGGAGAACACTGGCTATGCCACTCAATGGTCTCTTACTGTTTCTTAGGACACCGGCTGCACATAACCTAACAGGACTCACGTCAATAGATTGTGGGATTAAATCATATAGAACATTGTCTGGCACATAGATGATAGAAATGCTTATCATAAGATAAAGACACGGCAAGTACATAAGACTCTGCTATTATTTTGCAACGCCATTTTTTACAAAACACTAAAATATTAATGTATTTAGTGTTATTAAAATAAACACTGAAGTATGACAAATCTGTTTTCCTTTTCTAACGATTAATATTTGCCACTCACACCCTTGGTAATTCCATTGTTTATCCAAGGACCAACAGTGAAAATGTTTCAAACAGAACTCTCTTGGAAAAGAGCCACATTGTTTTTCTTTTAGAAATGGAATGATCTTATTAGGACCTTTAGGTAAGAAGTTATTTTTTAAATACACTATATAAAAACAATGTGCTTAGGTATGTTCTAATGGTGGGAATAATTATTTCCTAAATAAATAGGGGAGATCATAAATTATTTTCAATAGAGACCCTGGATAGATTTTCTAAACCCATCTGTCTGCACCACTGTGCGATAGATGTTCATAATTCCTTAACGGTATGCTTCTTCCCTAGAATTAAAGCTATAAGAAGTGATTTTGAGAAACACAGAAATGACTCAATATATTGGAGTGATATTTTATGGAAAACCTGCTAGATGAGGAGCCTTTCTCCCCTAAAGAAAAGCAAAGGCACAACCTGTGTATTCCCTTGCTCAAAAAAAAAAGTTCAAGCATAAAATTAATCCTTTAAAAAAGCTCCTGAAAGAGTTGCTTCTCCACGTTCAAATCCCATTCATTTCTCCCCTTGCCATGTGCCCTCCCTCCCCAACCCACACACCCAGTATCTCTTGAGGAAAGGACTGGTGGCAACCGAAGCTTGGGGTGTGCCTTCTGCTTATTAAGGAGCACTGGAGGTGCAGGGTTAATTGTTTGCAAGGGCAGAAAGTTGGTGATTCAAACAGCTCTGCAGGGGGCCTCTAAGGACTATTGCCTGGGAAACCCCAGGGGCAGTTCATTGATGACTCTAGGGCAATAGATTTGTTTGTTTGTTTGTTTGTTTGTTTACCAGCTATCTCCAGGACAGCAACATCCTTTTTTATGCTCTTCAAAGAGGATCTTCTGGACACTGGGCCAGAAAGGGTTATGGGCACAACCCGTTCTACAGTGTAGAAAACCCTTAAAAACCATGCACTGGCTAATGCCACGAATATGGCTAATGCCATATTCTCATTAGAAACCATTACCAGGTGAGGGTTATAGTCCTATGCAGTGGAGAAGGCTTTGTTTTGTTTTCAGGTGAGAAAAAAATGAGTAGAGCTGATTTCATGCAGGAATAGCTTTATTAAGTCAGAATTGGTACACTTTTTTTTTTTTTTTACATCTATGTAGGATATCCAAACGTTTTTAAATTACTCAGAAGGCAATCATCACCTCTTTGGTAAGCACAATGCACTTGCACAATGTTCTCTGTCCCCACTCCCATGATAAACCATAGAATAGTCATTGATTTCTGATTTAGTATACCCTTTCACAGCAATTTGTCACAGCTTTTGTTGGGAAAACACATTTCTTAACAATTAAGTACACGTTGGAAAGAATACAATTAGATTGACAGGATTTGAAGTGTTTAAACATAATACACAATCATAGGATTACACGAGGGATGTGGTATCTTTCAGTTCATTTCACCATCTTCTTTTTCCATCGAAAACATTTCTCTAGAGACTCTCTGTCCATGCTTTATTCTTATGACGCATCTGGTTCCTTCTTTTCTGCTCCTGTGTCAAGGTTTCAACCATTTGGATTATTTTACGTGGGAGAAAGAAATATTATTATTTTACAGGGAACATTTATTGACATCTAATTGTTACAATCCAAATCACAGCACATAATCAATCGTGTAGGGGTAACAGGTTACACTGGGATTGGTTCTTGTTGTCAGCACGCTGTAAGGAGACAGATTGGGCACCTTCGATTGGCATTTTACATGATAATGCATTTGCCCAGCAGCTTCTCGTTGGCCTTGGCGGACTTCTTGTGGGGGAGCTGGAGGCAGGCAGCGGGCTTGTTCTCGTGGTTCAGCAGCATGAAGAACAGCTCCTTGATGTTGAAGTCGGTCTTGGCAGAGGTCTCCACGAAGGTGCAATTCCACTCCAGCGCGTAGATGGCCCCATCTCTCATGGTCAGCTCGCGGCGGCTCTCATCGCATTTGGCACCCACCAGCACGATCGGGCACTTCTGCATGTTGGTACCTTTGATCTCGCGGATCAGCTCATAGAAGGCCTTCAGCTCCTCCAGGGTCTGCTTCTTGGTAACGGAGTAGACCAGGATGAAGGCGTGGCCCTTGGCAATGGCCAGGCGCTTCAGGCCAGGGTAGCGGTGGCTGCCAGTGGTGTCGGTGATGTGTAGGGCACCCACGCTGTTGTTGCAGCTCATCACCTGGCGGTAGGTGTCTTCGATGGTCGGCAGGTAGTTGTCGCGGAAGGTGCCGCGCACCCATCTCTGCACCAGCGCGCTCTTGCCCACGCCGGAAGAGCCGAGCACCACCACGCGGTAATCTTTGCACCGCTTCTGGGGCATGAAGGCACGGATCACCAGCAGGGTGGGCAGAGGACTCAGACGGCGCATCAGCCTTTCCCTGAAGCCAAAGCAGCAGTTGCCCATGCTGGCGAATGGCCCGCGACGCGGCTCTTCTCCTTCGCCAGGGGTCAGGCGCTGGTAGGGATGGCCTAGAGAAGGAGAGGGGGAGTGAGTGAGGGTCTCGGCCGAGAGCGAGGCAGACGTCTACCTGGTCAGCGGCTCTGAGGGAGGGAGGGAGGTCGCGGGATGCTGGCGAGGGTCCGCTCTGCAATACAAAGAGGGAAAAAGGGAAAGGCGGCCAGTGTCGCAGAGGACTTGCGTATTTGGGGCGGGGTCGTCAAGTGCGCACCACCGGTGGCTGAGACACCTGCCGGGAATCCACGTCACACCTGGGGATTTGGAGGGGTGAGGGGGAGAGAGCAGAGTTAATGAGCGGTAGAGAATCAGAGAAGTGGAAGGAGCCTGCTTTTTTTAATACCTTTAGTACGACGTCACTAGCCTCAGTTTCCCAATTTGTAAAATAGGGCTAAGGAAACAACGAACTGCAGAGAGTGCGCAGTTCAAGCGAAGAAGGGGCGGGGCTGGGGGCGGGGTCAGAGCTCCGAGGACTCCAGGACTCCGCCCCTCGGTTGGAGCAGCGCGGTCCGACTCTGGCCAAGGACTGCAGCCCAGGACTGCAGCCCCCGGGACAGACGGACGACGGGCGTGGTGCGCCCTGGGGAGCCCTCCATCTGGCGCAGCTGGAAAGGGGTTGGAGTCTCGGCTCCTCACTCCCAGCCCCCATCCCATAGCTGCCAGAGACCAGCACTACTCACCGCAGACCCGGCTCGGGGAGGCTCGCTCCACCCCTCCTCCGAAGGACGGCGACAGGTTACTCTTAATCGGGCGGTGGCACGCACCGATTACAGTTCTAGTGTCTGCATTAAGCCCGCACCACACTACTGCGCTCTTTCCCCGCTGGCGACGGGATAAAAAGCTGCAGCAGTTAACACCTTGCCCACCCTGCAAACACACAGCCCTCCAGCCGCTGCGCCCCCGAGCCCCGCCCTTCTCCCCCCTTGGGGACAGACCAGGAGAGGGGTGCCCAGGCAGCCCGCACCCGAGCCCGTCCCCCCTCGGGATGCCCAGGGATGGATGCCCACTCCCCCGCCCCCGACAACGCGCCCGCCGGCTCTCACCCCGCAGCATCTGGAACGGTGGTTCGCCCGCCATACCTCGCGCTGGTGTGCCCGAAAAGAGGCCGAAGACCGTTTTTACCTCTGTGCGAAGCGCGCACCGAGGGGCCAAGCGGGCCGACTCGCTCTGAGCTGAGGCGGCAGCGAGCAATCGCGCCCTCCTCCGAGCAGCGGCGGAAGCTCAGTCGGGCAGCAGCGAGCTCGGGACTCCGAGAGGACTGCTCCGACCAGCGCTGGATTCGGGCTGTATTTATACCCGGATCCCGGGCGGGGGCGGGGAGACTCCACTCGGCGCGCGGGGGGGGAACCTGGGGTGAGAGCTGGCCCCGCAGAGC